TCATTTTTCTAATCTCTATTTTTTTTTTTTTATCAATATCTTCTTTAGAAGCAGTTAATTCTTTTACTGCAGTGTTTTTTTCAGATTGGGTTTCCTCCCTATGTTTCTGTAGTTGATTCTTTACCTCAGATGCTATGAGTTCAAAGAATTCTGTTTTTATTTCAGAAAAGAATTCTGCTCTGAGTTCCTCTATAACTTTCTGCTGTTGCTTATTTACTTCTGATGCTATTAACTCATACATTTGAGCTGAGCTATTAGAAAAGAATTCCGCTCTGAGTTCCTCTTTAACTTTCTGCTGTTGCTTATTTACTATCAACGCTATTAATTCATACATTTGAGCTGAGCTAGTGTCCTGTGCACTTGTTCTGGGTGGGCATTGGGTTCCCTCCATATGTTTCTGCATTTGATTCTTTACTGCAGATGCTATTAATTTAGAGATTTCTTTTTTCATTTCCAATCTGAGTTCCTCTATACCTTTCTGAAATTGTTTCTTTATTTCAGAAGCCATTGATTCATTGATTTCAGCTGTGTGATTCCCAATTTGTTCTGTGTTAGTGTCCTCTTTACTTGTTATGGGTGGGCTTGGGTTCTGAGATTGCATTTTGCTCCTTTTCGTTGTCATTTTGTGTAGCACTGTCTTCTGACCTTTGTTGTAGAGCTTTGGTGCAGTTATAACCTTAGCACCTACTGAAATTCAGGTGCAGTTCTACAAAGTTTGGATTTATCCAGCTGTGCCTGGCTTGGATGTGGCTGCTGTGCTCAGCTCCTTCCTGCTGCCGCCCTTGGGAGTGAACTTGTTGTGCCCTTCTGGCAAGATGTTCTGCTCCTTGACTATCTTTGTGGTTCTGTCCCCTACACTCTCTGCAGGGATCGCAGTTGCAGGGTTTCACCTCAGGCCTGTATGCCAGGCCTGAGCTGAGTCTGGAGGGGACAAGGTGGAGTAGTGAGGAGAGGAAGCTCTCCCTCACACTCACCAGGCCTAGGCTAGGACTGGATCTGGGGATCCCCAGAAATTCTCACTGGGCAGGCAGGTGCGAGGGGGTGCTGCAGAGTGGTGGGGGTGGGTCCCAAGGGAGTGGAAGAGGGTCTCACCCATGCTGCACCTGGGCTTGGACTGGCATGTCCTGCCGGCACAGTGTAGCCGGAAGCTGTCCCACACACTCACTGGGCCTGGGCTAGAACTGGATCTGGGGGTTTCCAGGCAGGGGGTGGGGTTACTGCAGGGTGGTAGGGGAGTCCCAAGGGGGTGGAAGAGGGTCTCACTTGCACTGCGCCTGGGCTTGAACTGGCAGGTCCCGCTGGCGCAGGGTAGCCGGAAGCTCTCCCACACACTCACCATCCTTTATAGCTAATTTGTTTCTTTTCTGTAAAAGCTTTTAATATTCTATTTTTGTATTTAATTTCTAGAATGTTGATTATTATATACCTTTGTATATAATAGATCTTTTTATTGTGGCTAATTGGAGTTAGATATATCTCACTTAGCTATGAGTTGATCCTTGTAAATTGCTGAGTAGCTTTATTGCTAATGTTTAGAACTCTTGGGAAATGAGTACTACTCAGAGGTAGCTTCAGGTAGCTGTATAACTGGCTTTTGGGTTTTGACTTTGTTGCAAAAACCTTCTTCTTTATTTTGGATAAGAGAATGCTGCCTCCTTGGCCCAGCCCATGTTTGGTACTGGTCCTCATTATTTTCTGTTACCCTTAAAGCAATCTCAGTCTTGGTATATGAGGAAGAACTCATTAGAACATTTATGTGACTTTAGCTAAAGTGGTACAATTGGCAATAACCGTAGCATTAAACACAGCCTAGAAAATGACAAACTGAGGTAACTATATTTGCTATCTTTAACCATATGAACTATATTTGGGGTTATATAACAAAATCTAAAACAAATCAGAAAGTTATATGTAGTAAATAAGCCCACAGTATGCCAACTTTGTTATCAGAGGAGAAAATTTAAGAGGGGTTAGAGGAAAATATAGAAAAAATGATTAGAAGCAAGGCCGAGGACAAAGTAGGATCACACAAACTTTGAGAAAGTGGTATAGAAGATAGTAGGGAAAGCAAGAAGGAAGAAAGGAAAGGAAGAACAACAGAACAACCACAATAGAACTAGAAGCCATGTTTGTATATTCTATATGTGCACACTCATACAAAAGCAATATCAAACAATGAAAAAAACACACATGGAAGAAAAATTTTCCCTTCAGGGTTTTTCTCTGCTGTCACTGGTAGACAATACCTGTAGATAGATTCTATGTTGATTTATCCCAGCAGGCCATCTCACTAGAAGCTGCACCTTTATTTACCTGGAAGTTCAGGCTGGTTTCTGGTTGTGAGGCTGGAACCAGACCTGGTCAGTGTGGAGCAGTCAGCATACCTTCTTCAGCCTTGAAGTTGGGTAGGGAGCCACTAGGTAGATCCAGCATTTGTAAAAGGATCCTGGCCAGTTGCCATTCCCACGGGATAGCTGAATCTCCAGCCAATTCATTCCACAGCATCTGCTCTTCCATTGTATTGCTGCATCTCTCTGGAAGCCTCTGGGGTTACCAGCAGTCACTCTGTGTCTGCAGGTTTGAACCCCTCCTCACTTACAGTAAATCTTGACTCGGGGAGAAGGTGCCACAGCCACTTTCCTTATATTTGTTGAAGTTCCTCTGTTCACCCTCCCCATGGTCTTCAGTTCTCTTTTCACATCCTTCATGGGTTCATGGACCCACTTTTCTCCTTTTTCTTCTCTTCCTTGTGTCCAGTGCCTGGACAACAAATTGTGAAGAAGTTATTTCTCTGCTGTTTACCACTTCTTCATCTTCCTGGAAGTCTACAAACTGTTTAAACTCTATTCTTTATCTTCTTAAAACTTTTTTTTTTTTTTTTGAGACAATGCCTTGCTCTATGTAGTTTAGGATACTGTTGAATTCACTATGTAGCCCAGGCTGGCCTCAAATTTATGATGTTCCTTTTGCCTCAGCCTCCTGGGATTACAGGAGTGTGCCACTATGCCTGTCCAAAACTTACTAGAAGAAATGGGAGTTTAATTTCCTGCTGTTTACCTCCCCTTTTTGTTTTACATGTGTTATTTTTGTTCTCCTTGCTAATATTTGACTTATAATAATGTAATGTATGACACATCTATAAGATAAATCACTGTAGTCGCAACACTAGTTTTTGGCATAATGAAAGTAGTATTATTATAATTATTAGGTAAAAGCTCTTCCTAGATGAGTGAAGAAATTATAATGTAATTACTAGAGTGTCATAACCACATAGTAAAATGACTGTAAAATTGGTAATGATACATTATTCTGAATTGATGCATCAAACATTGTCGCTAGTATATGTAGTACTTGTTCATGAGTGAGTCTAAAGCTTATAGTGATCTATAGGTAACACTTGTAATAAGTGATATATATTAAAATACTTATACTGATATATCCTAAATACCTATATTCAGGGTATTAATAGTATTCCAGTTTGTTAACAGTTTCATGTTTTTACTAAAGATACATAGTTTGTATACTTTTTTGCTCAGTATGAAATTTTAATACATTTTTAACTTTTCTGAAGATAAAAATAATGCTATAATAGGAAATATGCAAATTGCTGGTGGATACAAAGAATCACAAATAAAATTACTCCAGTTATCCAGTGTCCATCCCCCTAGCACTCCACGTATGAAGTCATGAAGTCTTTGTGTATTTTCTAGTGTTCCAAAAAGCATGTTTGGGGTGTGTGTGTGTGTGTGTGTGTGTGTGTGTGTTTGTGTGTGTGAGTGAGTGAGAGAGAGGGTCTTATGTAGTGCAGGCTGGCCTTGGACTTATGGCTGTCTTCCTACCTCAGCCTCCAGAGTGCTAGGATTATAGGTGTGTACCACCATCCCCACTTTTGCTGTATTTTTTAAGCGGCTTTTTGTGTTCAATGTAGTTTTATCTACTCAAGACTCTAGGCAGTGAGAATTGATTGATTGATTGATTTTGTGTTTGAGATAGGGTCTCACTATATAGTTTAGGCTGGCCTCAAACTCACATCAATCCTGCCTTAGCCACTCGAGTGCTAGGATTACAGACAATCACATGCCACAACAGTCTGTCTTAGACAGTAAAAGTTATTTCTTATGGTTCTGTGTGTGTGGCTTTGTTTTATGAAGCAACTTTTTTGATTCTCCAATTTATTTTTATTATTTTAACATTCAGAGGCTTGGCCTGTGTTACTAAAGATTTAGCTGGGAACTTTGGCATATAGCTGCAGTCACAGCTACTGGTCAAGCTGAGACAGGAGGATTTCTTGAGCTCAGGAGTTTTAAAGTCATTTTGAGCAAGAGAGTCGAGACCTTATTAGGAGTCAGTTAAAATCAATCTGTTTAACAAAATGCAGATGTCAGATAAGCTTGAAAAATGCCAGGTTTTTAAAATATAATTTATATTGAATCATAAACTAGTAGAGCTAGGAAAAACTTAGGCTGAGTGCTTTAAACATTTCTGAGTCAGCTGTGAGTTCTGATGATTCTATTCATAGCAGTTTTGTAAAGTGAATTTTGTGCTGATCTGGTCTAAGATCATTGGCATGCTAGTTAAATAGGGCTGTTAAAAACTGAATATCCTAGCTTAAACAATACCTGTAGGGAAATAAGTTTTACTTAAAAGTAATGAGATTGACTAGTCTCAAATGTTAATTTGGGATCATTTAAACTAAGGTATTCTAACTTTTTTTTGTTGTTTAGATATTCCCTTCATCTTAGTATTCTTGCTCTCTTCTTTAGGATATGGTCTACCAGATGATATTGTAATTGAAAAGAGGGGTAAAGGAGACACTTTTGTGGATTGCACAGGTGTGGATATTAAAATTTCCAGCATAAAATTTGTTCAGCATGATGCAGTAGAAGGAATCTTAAGTAAGTATCTCAATGTTTGGTATACTATTTGATCTATGCTTTGAAAGAAAACTACTTTTTGTGGAGGACTGAATTTAATGAAATGTCAGTCATCAGTGAATAGAAGGCTGGTTGTTTATGTGTATAGCAATAATAATTTAGGGAGCCTGCTTCAGAGTGAGAAATAGATTAGCCTATACTTGAAACTTTGTTAATTAAATGCAGAGAATAACAATTTTTACATTAGTGCCATTCTTACTGGAGCATAGTGGGTTCTTGATGTTTAATTTGCATTTCTCTAATGGCCAGATATTTTTTCATTTATTCAATGGACACTTACATTTTTTCTGAGAAGGGTCTGTTCATTCAGTTGCACATTTTTTTGATTGGGTCTTTTATTTTTGAGTGTTTATTTTTTAAATTTTTAATATATTCTAGATGTTAATTCTCTGAGTAGTAACTTGCAGACTTTTTCCCATCCTATAAGCCTGTCTTTTCACTCTGTTCATTGTTTCCATTGCTATGCAAAAGCTATTTTATTTGAACCCACTTTCCACAAGAAATGTAAGTCATTATGTACTGTCCATAACTCATAAAAACTTTCATTTGGTATAAACCCCATGTGGATCTAGATTTGCTCTTTTAAGCATTGATAACAAATTTTCCCAACACTATTTGTTAAAGAAGCTATCTTTGCTCCAGTGTGTACTATAGGCCTCTTTTTCAAAAACCATATACCTGACGGTGCTTGGTGTTTCTGTATCCTCTGTTTTATTCTGTTGGTCAATGTGTCTGTTTTTGTGTTGTTTTATCACTGTAGTTTTATAGTATTGTTTGAAGTCTGGGAATGTAATGTCTCCTACCTTACTTTTAGAATTTGTTTGGCTATACGTGATCTCTTATAGTTCCATATAAATTTTATTTATTTATATTTATTTTTTGTATTCTAGGGAAGGGTCTACAGGGTATTCAGGGTTTCAGTACTAGATTGGACTCGTAGTGATCCACCTGTTTACAGCCTCCCAAGAGCTGGGATTACAGGAGTGCACCACCGTGCCCTGTCTCAGTTGCTCTCTCAGTGCGCCCCAGGGACAGGGCTGGCATAGCAGGCCCAGGGATCAAACCCCCAGCCCCTGTGCCTGTTTGCAGGTGCTTAAATCCGCTAAGCTATTTGGCTGGCCCTCCTTATAAATTTTAGAATTGTCATTTCTAGTTCTGTTTTTAAAAAGCTGATGGTAGTTTGATTGATAATATATTAAATCTGTATTTCACTTTTGTAATATGACCATTTTTGATGATACTGTTCTGCCTAAGAACGGGGTTGTTTTTCCATTTTTTAATGTCATCTTCAATCTTTTAGTTTTTTTTTTTTTTTTTTTCCAGAACCGAGGGTTGAACTCAGGCCCTTGCGCTTGCCAGGGAAGCGCTTATTCCACTGAGCCATTTCCCCGGCCCCTCAATCTTTTAGTTTTTATAGAGGCCTTTCACTTCTTTGTTTAGGTTACCTCCTAGATAGTTTTTTTCAAAGTTACTATGAATGAGATTGTTTTTCTGATTTCTTTTCAGTAGTATCATTCTCCATATTTAGGTATGCTATTGATGTTTGTGTATTTATTTTTTATTCTACCACTTGTCTGATTTTTATTAGTTCAAGGAGTCTTCTGGTAGAGTTGTTTCAATCTTGAATGTAAAGAATGATGTCATCTGCAAACAAGGATATTTTATTTTTATTTCTTCCTTTCCAGTTTGAATTCCATTTATTTCTCTTGTCTAATTGAGCTTGCAAAATTTTGAGTACTCTATTGAATAGGAGTGGTGAGACTGGACTTAATTGTCTTGTTCCAGATTTTAGTGTGAACACTCAGTTTTTCCCCATTTAATATATTGTTCTCCCTGGGTGTGTAATAAATGTTTTTTTATAATTTTAAGTTATGGTCTCTACCAATTTTTGTCAGGGTTTTAATTTTTTAGTATATGTGCTGCTGAAGCGAGCACAGGGTTTTAATTTTTTTAAATTATTTTTACTTTTAATTGGAGTTTTCTTGGTACACATTCACAATACATAATAGCTGCACTTACTGTAAGCTATTGGTATAGGTACATAACACATTTTAGTTCCCTTCTTTCCTCTCCCTTGATCCCCCTTTTACTTTTCCAGCATCAGATTAATATATTTATCTTCTAAGTCCTTGCAAAGTTAATTACTGTATATACACACTGAAAACCAGACCAATAGGCAGAAGAACATATAAAAAGTGTAAGACAATTGTATTGAGTCAAGGTACACTTTTAGATACACTGTCTGCACTCGATTACAATACCTTTCTCTTACATATGGCAGGTATTACACTGAATTTGTTATCCAACTCTAGCCTGCTCTTTGGAAAGGGTCACTTGGAATAAAACCTCATGCTGCTTTTGCAGTAAATAATAGCTGTGAGCTTTTCTTTAGACTTGTGCTGCTGGCCCAGTCTGTTGTTTCTCTGTGGACTTGATGGTCTTCTATAATTACCTTTTCTCCCCAGATACTAGCCTCCACATATCCACCATCTGGTTAGTCAGTCAGGTAGTGCCTTGTCCACCCTGTGCTGCGATGAAACAAAAGGCAGAGCAGACTCAGAGTTGGCTGGCAGCTGCAGAATTCATGTGCAGAGTTGGCCTGAGGCACAGTGAAGTTCTAGTGGGTTTCATCGTTTCTGAGTCCATAGACCACCTCCTTTGTGGCTGAGGTTTCTTGTGGGTGTTGTGGGCTGCTTTCTTTCTTCTTGCTGCCTTGTTTTCTATTTGTGCTTTAACAATAAGGCATATCTCTTATATGCAACATAAGGTTGGGTTTTGGTTTTGGGCCCAGTCTGCCAATCTGTAATTTGATTTTACAGTTAAGACTATTTACATTGAGATTTATTGCTAATACTTGTTGACTGGTTCCTGTCCTTTCATTATTTTTCTGTTGCTGATGCCTTCATTTCCTTTTATTTAACTCCTCATTTTCCTCCATGAATGTATTGTTTTAGGCTGCTTGGTGGTATTGGTATCATTGTCACTGTCTAGGATGTGAGTGCTTTTTGAAGTTGTGATTTGATGATCATGAATTTCTTAAAGTATTCTTTGTCATGGAAAGTCCTTATTTCTCTACCAATTTTGAAAGATAGTTTATAGGATATATTAATCTGGATTGGAAATTGATTTTTCTTAAAGCTTGAAAACACTTCACTCCTGCCCTTTAGTTTTCACTCTTTTTTTTTTTTTTTTTTTTTTTTTTTTTTTTCGGAAGCAGGGGTTGAACTCAGGCCCTTGTGCTTGCCAGGGAAGCGCTTATTCCACTGAGCCATCT